AAGGCCCAGCTTTATTTCTGCACCCCTTTGATGCTTTTATCATTTAAATGATATTGCGCCTCCTCACTTTTCTAAACACATTACTGATTTTCTACCAGTCATGTCACTAATCTGTTAGTATTCTCTTCACTGTTTACTTCTTTTATGAGGTTTGTATCATCTGCAAGCTTTGAAATTATGTTCTACGTGCCCAAGTCATTCATGTATACCACAAGAACCAAAGTTCTAATACTGACTCACGGAGGATCTGCATGTCTGTTTAGTCTGAAAAACAACTGTTTGACGTGACTCAGCTTGTGGTTTCCCAGCTGATTTCGTATCCCATTGGATTCAGTTTTTCTAATACGTCTATCAGATCAAACATGATGAAATGCCCTTTGAAAGTCCATGTGCACAACATCAACTGCATAATTTGTATTATTTAATTCTATTAAGGTTTTTCAAAAACAGTTAACTTTTAAGATCCTGTATTGATTGCCACTTATTTTGCTTTTCAAATGTTTATTAATTTTGTCTCGGATGATCATTTTATAAAGTTTCTCAGTTATTAGCAACTGGCCAGATCTTTCCTCACATTATTGGATAGAGATGTAATGTATGCAATCCTCTAGAATTGTTCCCATATCCAAGGACAATTGGAAGATGATGGCCAGATCCTCCATTATCACTGCACTTACTCTTGTTAGCAATCTAATGCATCCAGTCTGGATCCATGGCCCAGAGCTTCCAATTGGAAAATGGTTGCTACAGCAGTGTAGATAAGAGATAGGCATTGTATTGATGTTACTGATCTTTCAGGAGTTGCCTGAAAGTTTAAACTTCTAAAGGTCAATTACACAGAGTCTGGAAACTTTCAAAACGGTCTCCAACTCTGAGTTAAAGTCAGAGATAATGGAGGGTTCCAGATCACTTAGCAGAAATTATACAACTTTTCATTTTGTTTCTTTTAAATGTAATGATTATTTTGTTTAAGACATTTAAGAAGAAACCAACTTACCATGACCTTCTCAACGGCATAGGAATGGGCAATAAATGTTGACCTAGCCATTGATACCATGAATGAATGAAATCAAAATTTGATGACATGGTTGTTTAATATTTCTGAGTAATGAGTGTTTTCCTTACTTAAGGTAGTCAGGTGTGTCAGGACCTCCTCATGGTCTCGAAATGCATCTGCAGTGTATGCTGCTGCAAAGACTATGTATCAAAAGGTCTGGGCTTACATCTTTAGTCATTCAAACAGTTCTTTCTTTTGTTATATCCCTTCTTTACCCCTCCTGAGGATGGATATGAACCATCTCCTCTTTGGCCTTCTATTGTTGCTTTACCTTGCCAGACTTCCATTCCTATCCAGATAGACTCCCAGATCCTCTTTTAATTACTGAATCCTTTAGTTGAGACCTTTTACATTTGAATGTTCCTTATCTTTTTTATAACTATTATAAACATTCTGTTGTTGTGATGACAGTTTTGTAAAATGATCTCAAACATGTCTGAGCTGGCTCAGCCCCGTTCATTGGATATATAATAGCTGGTTACTTGCATATCTTTTGTATGGTGAATTGGTCTCAGTCTCCTGGTCAACATGCCTCCACTACAGGTAATGTGCTTGTAGCAAGCAACATTTTAAAATGGTGGGCATTGACATTGATAACTGGGAGACAGTTGCTGATTGTTGTGACGCCTGAAAGTTGACTGTTTGGAAGAAAATTGAAACAGACAAGTGACAGTGCAAACCTTAGCTGGGGGTCCAGGTAAAACAAAGGACAGTAAATTGAGCCCATTGTCTTTCTCTGCAGCAAAAACAGCAGAGATTGCCATGCCAGAGTGGGGCTCCCGAACAATGTCTAACACAGAGCTGGTCACCATACAAATCTTTGTTTTACAAGACAGAAGACAGCTGCTAAGTGCTCTTGCTGAAACATGTTCCACTTCCTATACTTAATTACTCACAACCAGATACAGCATTGCTTCCTAATGCAATTAGTCTTGAAATATAGAGATCAAGAAAGTTCTCTTGTACACATTTCAGGAAGTCCGCATCCATTTCTCTGAACTTTGCCTGTAAATTTGCACCTCTATTTCCTTCCCAGTATATGCCAGCCTATTGTATACATATTGCTGTGTAATGCAGTTTTCTTTCTTAATTCAAAATGAATGGATTACATCTTTAAATGTACCACATCATCCATATTCAGTGCTATAAAAGTATCCATATTATTGATCCTTGCACTTACCTCCTACTGTGGCATGTTGTTGTAAATATGCCAGAACACAAACACATACATAACACCACGTGCAAAAATAGCAAGCATTTATCAGACTGACAGAAGGAAATTTTCTTCAGCAAATAGTCATTCTAGTTCCAAGGGAAAGAGAAAACTGTCAGGATGATTACTTCAGAGCAAACGTGCACCTAGCATTTTGCAGCCCAGTTCAGGAAAGGTATTGTGACAGCTGTAGCACAGTCAACAGACCATTTGGCCTTGCTTAAAGAGGAAACATGATGGTATGGGGCAACAGTGGGCGATGCAAAATGATGACAAACAGGAATTAATCTCCGTTGGACCAGATGGATAGTATGACTGATTTGGCATTGAGGTGTGTTTGTGTTAATTGTGTGCCCACTATCATAAATATGATGTGAGAAAATGTATTTCACAATTCATAGTGGAATCAAATCATTACTGGACCCACAAGACTTTGCAGGGCCACAGTAAAAGCCTTGTTTAACATGTCTTTGCTCTTTCATTTAAATGCAGTGGAATATATTATGAGTAATGGGACTTGCTGTGGAGACCAGATGTGCTTGGTGTGGGAGAGCAGGTGGGCTAGCAGCTTCTTTTGAGTCAACCAAATAGTCTATCATTAGTCAATTAAAGGCAATGATTTTGACATCAACATGTTTGTTGCCACACAAGACAAAATTCAGAGTTAGTTCGACTCTTTGATCCACCTTGGATTAAAGTAACTAACTTGATTGAGTGTAGATTGTGATCTGATGGGTTCTGAATATCCCAATATGACCTTCAAAGTTATCTGACGTTCATTGCAAATATTTCACATTTCACAATTTCACACTGAAATTGCTTTTAACTGGGAGTCTTTTTTTTCTTAAAGCACCATTTTACACAGTTTTATTGGTCAATGTGTGGACGTGCTTAATTGCATTAGAAATAATCTACTGCTGAACAACAGCTGCAGTGATACAGTTTAGTATTAAACAACTATCTATCTAGTATAAACTTAAAATTATTAAAATTGGTTGAATGCTTAATTTCTAAACAAAATGAAAACAGAATGCAATTAGCCTGAATCTTAATGAAAGTCTGCAGCTGACACAACAAAAACTATTGAGGATGATACAGCAGATTGTGAACAGAGCGCCATAAATATAAATCACATTGGCTATGATGTCATTGAACCACTTAATGGATTCAGTGCTTTTTAATTGATAGCAAGTCGTCTATTATAGTATATGTTGTTCTTTCCTCATATGCATTCAGGTTTTAGTTTACTGAGCTGCTTTCCAGATGGCATCCAGGATTCACCATCTCTTACAATTAGGATCTCTTTCCAAGATACATTTCAGCAATCTGGTGCCATTTTAGAGATGTGTTGAATGAATGAAACATGATCCATATTCATTTGAGGGAATGAGATGATTGATTAAAAATGAAAGATTGAACTGACATTAACTGGTAGTAACTGGTTTTGAATTGACTTCAGCTGGATTCTACTAGAGGTGAATGATTAACTGGCGATTCATAGTGGGTAGGGCTCTGTGGCACAGTGGTAGAGTCCCTATCCTTGGACCAGGAGGGCAGTGTTCAAGACCCACCTACACCAGAGGTGTGTAATAACATCTCCGAACAGCTTCACTAGAAAAATAGGTTAAAACAAAGCTGGCAATTCTGCTGCATCCAATAAGGATTTCCAGTTGCTGCATTAGCACCAGTACCCTCAATGTTTCCATTGCCACTCTCCACCCTCATTACTCCAGTACACCCTAACCTTTATTTTACACAGTTTTCTTGTGATTGAATGTGTTCCCTGAATTTTCATTGATCCATTTTAAAAATAGTTCTCCGCAGAAGATTGCAAGAATTACATTCATAACAATTTCAAAGGAGATTTGGAGGTACTGAAGTGCACACTTGATCATATCTAATTCAGTATTCATATGAATTAATACACTTGCAACATTCCACATCACAAAACAGAATTTTTAACCTCAACCATGTACTTTTTAAAAATTCCATTATTATTTATTAGAGATAGATTTAACCTTATACCCACCAGGCATTTTACAAATATCTCTGGACCTCTGGCTGTATAAGTTGACCAACCAGTTACCAATCCACTGCTCCCATTGCCACCCCCAGACATCAACACCTATCACTGTCCCACCTCACCCTTATCTCAGATCACACTACCTATTTGTCTTCACCACACAGGAAACAAATAAAGTCCCAGAAATAATTGGGAATCGCATTTTGCAGTGGGGGGGAGAACTTAAAAGAATTACAATCACCAGGGAAAGGACACTAAGAAAATTACCAGAATTAAAAGCTGAAAAGGTAATCTCTGGAAAAAAATGCTATTTGCCATCACCCACATGAAGTTGAATACCTCTACCAAACTTCCTTTTTCTGTTTCTTTATTTCCTTTGCTGTTCTTGTAATAGATACTCCCAGTTGTCTTACCATTTGCTCAAAATGAAAGTGCCTTACCTGAAATCAGTTTAGTCACAAAACCAGAAGGACAATGCACTAATTCACTGGCCTAAATTTTCCCATTATTTTGGTAGTGTTTTTCAAGTGAGATTCATGATGCCCAGTCTGCCATGATCTGTGGCAACCTTTCTTATGCAGTCTTCCATTCCTCATTTTTCTAATTTGCTCCTGTCCTCCTTTGATGTCTAGAACACACCAGAATAAAGAAAACTACATTAAATGTATTATTTTTAACCCTAGAGTAAAGTTTTAAATACATTTTAGAAATACTGCGTGGGTGGAATCTGACTAGGCATTGCTGTTCTACTCAAGTCAGACACTGATGTGAGTCATCTACTTCAGGACAATTAGGAAAGCATGAGTCTGATCAAGTGGATGTGAGTATGCTTCATGATCTTGCAATACCAGTCATCAAAGTTCCAAAGCATTATGCAAACATTTTTGACAAGAACAAAAAAAAACTTGAAAAATGATGATGTAATTTTCAACATTTATTCTTATTATTCATTCTTGGGATAGCAGTTCAGAGTCTACCACGTTGGTTTGGAATTGGATTCACAGATGGGCCAGACCAGGTAAGGGGCAGATTTCTTTCCCTAATGGGTATTATTCAGCTTATTGTGTTCTTACGACAATTTAGCTGTTTTAGTGATTTAACTTTTATTAATGTCAGCTTCTTATTCCTTTGTCTTTCATTCAATTTTTAAAAAATGAATCCAATTCTAAACAGCCTTTGTGGGAACTTACATCTTTGAATTATTAGTCTGCCAATAATTTTCTAAGTGGAAGGGTTTTTCACCCACCATCGAAAAGGTCCATGAATAGCACTTCCTTTCTCCCCCTTCCCAATGTCACACCCAAAGACATCTAACACACTGCACTTCCCATGGGACGAAGTAGCTTTCCAGTCCCAGCAATACCACTGAGAATGGTGGCTAGTGCTAGGCCTACACTGAGTCCCACATCCGTGGATATCAGGAAGCCAGTAAGTCTTTTAGGGAGGGGAGGATGCTGGAGTCTTTCAATGCACCCAGGAGAGGAGGCCTGTTTGGAGCCAAGAGAGCCGGGTTGCAAATACCAAGGAAGAAGGGAACATCTAGGGATGGGAGACGTTAAACTGTCCACAATTAAAAATTTGTGAGGGAAGAGCCACCCACTGCTCACTTTGCTCCTTAAGGTCAGGGAAAGCATACTAATTTGCTGGGCAACCCATCTCATTTCAGATCTCTGGATTATTGGTGGCAGGAGGGAAGTGGCCATTAATTAGTAACAAAAGGACCTCAATTCCCAAAGTCAGGCAGGCCATCTTGCCTGCCCCCTGTATAGATGCTGTGTGATCAGGCGCAGTGGGAGGGTGGCAGGAAATAAGGTAGAAGGGGCTAGGTTAGCTCAGTCAGCTGGACAGCAGGTTTGCAATGTGGAGTGTGGGTTAAATTCCTGCACTGGCTGAGGTTGCCATGAGGGACTCTCCTTAACCTCTCCCCCGACCCTCAGGTTAAACCACCACCAGTTGTCTTTCTAATGAAAGAGCAGCCCTATGGTTCAGTAAGACTCTAGCAACTTTACCCTTTACCTCCACAGATGTGGCTAGATATGCTGAGTTTCTGCAGCACTCTCAGTTTTTACTCAATAATGGTTTCTAGCAATTTTGCATTGGCATTTTGTGTAAAAATAATATCAAGTCTAATTAATGGCACCCACCATCATTTAGATTTAAAGAGTAGAGCATCTTCAAGGAAGCAGCAAGTGCTCAGTTCTTTGTGAATACTAAAACACTCTAATCAGTGCAGTTCTGCCATTAAGCCTGATCATTTTTTTCAGAAACTTGTAGTATTTCTCCATTAACTTCCCACTAAATTCATTAGTTTTGTTGTTTGGAGTGTAAATATCCTGCTCATGATATGAAAAATATTATTGACTGTAAATTAATTGCCCTAGCACAGAAATTAACCATTACATGTGCAGATTTCTCATTTTTTCACATTTTGAAGCTTTCAAAGTGGTTTTTATAAATATCAATTTTGGAAAAAATCTTATCATCTTTTTTATCTTCCTTATATCCAGGTTATAGTGAAAGAGGCTACATTTCAAACAGTAGAAGGGTTTATGTTTGATAAAGCCAAGGTATTGGAAAGGCTACCTGCTTTTAAGGTTAATAGGGCACCAGGATTGGATGACATGCATCCATGTGTAGTGAGGAATGTGAGACTGGAAAGTGCAGAGGCACTACTCATACCTTTGCAGTCTTTCTCAGAATCAAGTCTGGTGCCAGAGGACTCGAATTGCAAACGTTAAACAAAAAAAATCTGTGAGGATAAGGCAAGCAATTACAGACTGATCAGTTTAATTTCAAGGGTGGAGAAATTTTGAGAAACTATAATTCAGGACAAAATTAATAGTCAAATGGACAAGTGTTAGCTCATGATGGAGAGCCAGCATGGATTCTTGAAAGAAAATCTTGTTTAACTAACTTGCTGAAATAGCTGCACAGAGGCCAGGTCCACTCACTAAGTCACCCTTTATTTACTAGTGACCAGCCAGCTCAGAGTCAGTCCTCAATTGAGCAGATTTTAATCTCCTGGTTATATTGGTCAGCCAAGGCTTTCCTGATTGGCCCAGGTTAACAGCCCCAATCAAGAACCTCATGGTCAATGAAGTCCACCTGGATCCAATCATAGAGTCATAGAGTCCTGCAGCACCGAGACAGGCCCTTCGGCCCAAACTGGTCCCTGCCGACCAAAACGTCCATCCATGCTAATTCCATTTCCTTGCACTTTGCCCATTTCCTTCTAAACCTTTCCTATCCATGTATTCATCCAAATGCCTTTTAAATGTTGTTAATGTACCCACTTCAAACATTTCCACTGGCAGCTCATTCCATATGCGTACCACTCTCTGTGTAAAAAAGTTGTCCCTCAGGTTCCCATGTATTCTTTCCCCTCTTACCTTAAACTGATGGCCTGCAGTCCTCAATTCCCCAACCCTGGGAAAAAGAATGAGTGCATTCACCATATCCAAGTCTCTCATGATCTTATAGCTTCTATAAGATCCCCCGTCAGTCTCCTACACTCTAAAGAAAAAAGTCCTAGCTTGACCAACCTCTCCGTATAACTCAGTCCCTTGAGTCCTAGTAACATTCTTGTAAACTTCTTCTGCACTCTTTCCAGTTTAGTAACATCTTTTTTATAGCAAAGTGACCAAAATTGAAAACAATACGCCAAGTGTGGCCTCACCAACAACCTGTACAACTACACCATAACTTCAACTTCTGTACTCAGTGCCCTGACTGACGAAAGCCAGTGTGTCAAAAGCCTTCTTCACTTCCCTGTCTACCTGTGACTTCACTTTCAGGGAACCATGCACTTGAACTCCAAGGTCTCTCTGTTCCAGTACACTCCTTAAGGTCCTACCATTCGCTGTGAAATTCCTACCTTGATTTGACTTTCCAAAATGCAATCTTTCTGCAATTTCTGATAACCTTCCAGTCTGATAACTGTCCACGATACTACCTATTTCAGTGTCATCTGCAAACATACTAATCATGCCTTGTATATTCTCATTCAAATCATTGATGTAGATAACAAACAGCAATGGGCCCAGCACCAACTCCTGAGGCACACCACTAGTCACAGGCTTCCAGTCCAGCAAGCATCCCTCCACTGTTACTCTCTGCTTCCAACCATCAAGCCAATTGTATATTCAGTCTGTCAGCTGTTCCTGGATTCTATGTGATCTAACCTTCCAGAGCAGCCTACCATGTGGAACCCTATCAAAGGCCTTACTGAAATGCATATAGACTACATCAACTGCCCTATCCTCATCAACATTCCTGGTCACTTCATCAAAGAACTTAGCAAATTTGTGAGGCATGATCTTCTATGCATGAAGCCATGCTGACTAATCCTAATCAAACCCTATCTTTCCAAATGCATGTATATCTTAATTCTCAGAACCTTCGCAAGTAACTTACCTACCACAGATGTTACACTTACTGGTCTGTAATTCCCAGGTTTTTCTTCGTGCCCTTCTTGAATAAGGGCACAACATTTGCTACCCTCCAGTCTTCTGGGACCTCACCTGTGGCTAACAATGATGCAAATATATCAGCCAGGGCCCCCGCAATTTCTTCCCTAGCCTCTTGCAGGGTTCTTGGATATATCTGGTCAAGACCAGAAGATTTATCCACCTTCATACATTCTAATACTTTCAACATCTCCTACTGTGATATGGACTGCCCCAAGATATCGCCACTAACTTCCCAAGTTCCCAAGTCTTCATGTCTTTCTCCATGGTAGACACAGAGGAGAAATATTTATTGAGAACCTCACCCACCTCCTGGGGTTTCATACATACATGTCAACTTTGATACTTGAGGGGTCCTATTCTCTCTCTAGTCATTCTTTTTGCTTTATTATACTTAAAGAATCTCTTTAGATTCACCCTAATCTTCTCAGCCAAAGCTAACTCATGCCCCCTTTTCACCTTCCTGATTTCCTTCTTCAGTAAACTCCTGTATCCCCAATATGGGGTGGCACGGTGGCTCAGTGATTAGCACTGCTGCTTCACAGCATCAGGGACCTGGATTCGATTCTACCCTCTGGGAACTGTCTGTGTGGAGTTTGTATATTCTCCCCGTGTCTGTGTGCGTTTCTTCCAGGTGCTCCGGTTTCCTCCCACAGTCCAAAGATGTGCAGGCTAGGTAGATTGGCCATGCTAAATTGCCCATAGTGTTCAGGGATGTTAGATTAGGGGGATGGGTCTTGATGGGATGCTCTGAGGGTCAGTGTGGACTTGTTGGGCCAAAGGGCCTGTTTCCACAATGTAGGGATTCTATGATATCTCCAGGGATTTCCTTGATCCCAGCTGCCTGTACCTGAGCATTGACTTCTTCTTTTTTCTGGTCAAAACCTCAATATCTCTTGTCATCAGTACACTTGCTGGAGCTTTTGGAAGAGATAACAGAGAAGGTTGATTAGAACAATGATCCTACAGATCTGTGCGCAAACTTAGAGCTCATGGAATAAAAATGACTGGTAATAGAGCATATTGACTAGTGGATGTTTTTCAGGTAGGGGGAAGGTTTGTAGTGGAATTCTCTGGGATAAGTCTTGGGGTTTAGAGCAGAGAAGGTTGAGAGGGGACCTGATGGAGGTATATAAATTAGTGAGGGGCATAGACAGGGTAAATAGAAAGCAGCTGTTCCCCTTCGTCAAAGTGTCAATAACAAGGGGGCATAATTCTAAAATGAAAGGCAGGAAGTTTAAAGGGCAGTTTTCAACTAGAGGGTGGTGGGAATCTGGATTACACCACTAGGGTGGGTAGTTGAGGTGGGAAACCTCACATTCTTTAAAATGTAGTTGGATGAGAGCTTGAAGTGTCATAATGTTCAATGCTGTGAGCCTAGTGAGGGAAAGTGGGCTACTGTAGGCAGTAGCATATTTTTAGCATACAGACCTGATGGACCGAAGGACCTTTTCTGTTAGTGGAATAGATACACAAGTGATATATTAACATTCAAAACAGAAGAGTTGGAGAGGATGAATCTTGCTAGGAGAAACATAGACTATATAAAAAA